AAAATTTTGTAACTTAGCACAGCGATATTTCTGTCACTTTTCAATATCTTGCAACTGAACTTTCTATGTTGGGATGCTAATGAATATTGTTAGTTCTAAATTCTGTTTAATAAAAGGGATGTCCAGCACATCAATTTTTCTAAAATTTGGTATTGCCTACAGAAAATTGATACCACTTTCAAAAAAAGAAATAACTTTAATTTTCGGATTTTGCAATTTTTGACAGTATTTATGGCTAGAATTCTCGAATTCCCTGCCAATTTATCCTAGTTTTGTCAATACTACGGAATCTATCACGTTTTCGGAGTCCAGTAAATCCTGTTTAGTGTTAGTCTTCCGTCATAGCACCAGTACAATATTGTAGCAATAAAGAATAAATTAACGCAGACTTCGCGGTCTTACATGTCGCTATTACAGCTAGAAAACCTTTATGCGAGTGTTTTCGCACAAGCGTGTTCAATCATTATTTTAAAAAGGATGCAGTATATATGTGGATATGCAAACCTTACATGGGTTTCAACAGAACAAAAGTACAAGGAAATGAAGTAGTAATGGATCAAAATTAGATAAGTATTCTCACTGCAACTAAAATGTTTCCAAAAGTCTATTAGTTGGCGCCATCATGTCACGCCATGAAGTTGTAGCAAGCATGTGCTTTCGTTTGAACTTTGAAACTCAAAAGGCGTAAATTAGCAAAAAGTAAGGCATTTAATATTATCCTTGGTAGCACATTGATGTTATTTACGTTTATTTATGTTTGTTTAGCCAGAGAAATCGTCGTCACCCAAGTCAATGCGCCCAAGTTCGATCAGTATTTTAGTGTGTGATGGTGAAAGTGAAAGGTATAAAATCTGTGACACAATGTATTCCGATATTTTAGTCAAGCTATGCAAATATTTACCTCTCTATGGAGAACTGTGAAAAATATTAAATAGGTTAATTTAAGATATGAATAAGCAGACTGTATTTTAAGTGTGCATTTACAGGGTAAAAATATAAAAATATACCCCAGTACCCCACTTGAAATTAGGCTTTTTTTGGAATTAGACTAACACAAATTAAGGCCCCGTTTTCAATTTTAAACCACCCGTGGGTTTAACATAATAATAAAGCAATCAAATGTCAAAAAGCTACATTTTAATATGGGTTCTTTTTTCATACCTCCTTGTAATAGGGGTATTTATAGTCTGTTAACCAATGGCTGATTACCATGCCGTGTTGATAAGTTATGTAAATTTTCAGAATGCATGCTGTATAAAAAAAGTATCCCATGGCCAGAAATCTGATACAGCATGGCCGCCGCGCACGCGCATCGTATCAAATTCGAGTGATGGAAAATCTGGCTGACATAAAATCCTACTAGTAAATAGTATTAGATTTGTGCACACATGAACTATTTCTACCAATTTTACGAAATGCATCAGGAAAATTAAAGTCCCACAAATCTTAAACTACAGTCTATTTTATATTCTTTCAAAAAAAATTAAAATATTATTAAACATGACTAGTGCAACATTGTTCCATTTTCACGTTTGCATTAGACTATAAAACGAGAAAACCCCCCATACTAGCTTCTTCATACATGCAAAAATAATCACAAATTTGATGCAAATAAGTGCTTCTTGCGCCTCTGCATCATAGTTTGATTTACTTCCACAAATCTGTATACGATGTTTACATGTTAGTCTTCATTTTGCGTTCAAAATTAGTGCCTTATTTTGTGCTCTAACCTGTTCCAAAACGCTTTGAAAAACTGCACAATATCGCCGGTGATCATAGCATGCGTTATGGCCATTGATTGAAATTGTACGACGAGAAACTTGGCAATTTCTTGTTGTGTTTTGATTTTCTCGGTCGTATACTTCGCCATGTTATTTTAGGAATGTCTGCAGGGGTTTTCCCTAACCTTCCACGTGTAAACATGTCGTAATACCTCATTTGCAAGTAAAATGTCGGACAATTTGTCTAAAAATCGCTGGTCTTTTGAAGATGAAATCAAGCTTTGTCAACCGGATTTACGGTATGCAGCTAGGAATAATGAGAAAAAGATCATCTGTACGCTGGATATACCTTATCCTCTTTTGAAGCAATGGCACGGCATTGTATACGGGTATGTTAATAAGCCAAATTCAGCACAGACGAGTCAACCAGATATTTGCCCTGATCGCCCATCGTCATCGAGTTCTGATCCTACTTCGACGGCTAATCGAGGCAAGCCCGTGAATTTTGTTGATCTGCTAGAATATTGTATTCCGGACAGATTTTTTATGGTAAGCACGATATAACAGTGAGAGAAAAAGTAAATGAAACACTTTCAAAAATTGCTGGTGGTGTGGCACAACTTTATAGGAAGACCAGGGGAAGAGCTCGAATAGATTTGGATAAACGGATGAGAAAATTTCATTTGTTTGAAGGACAAACCAAGCCAATTCATGATTTCCATGAAGAAATTAAGAGTGTTCAGGATGAGTTAAGAGAATGGAAGGGAAAATATGTGAATTTGGAAGAGGAGAAAGAAAAAATTTATAAAGAAATGCAAAACGCGTTGGAGAGAAAAGAGAAAGTAATTGAGCATTTACAGAAAAGTAACAAACAACTTGAGGAGTATGCTGAAAATCTTTCAAAAGTTGTTGGTCTTAGTTCCTACCAGGGTAAGTCTGTATCAGAAGCCAAGAATAAGACTAGGACTTTGAAAACATTTCTATCAAGAGCAAATATGGCATTATGGTTTACCTCATCATTTGGCCTAGAGTTAGACACTCTTAAAGTCAGAGAGCATGAAACTGGACAGGTTCACATTGTGAACTTCCAACAAGAAAATTTTATTCAGGAACCAGCATCCAATGATGAATCTGGTAGGGGATCAACTTTCAGCACTTTGCCAGAAGGAGAACAGAACAAAATTGAGCAAATCCTATTTCTGCTTGACAAGTTCTGTGTGGGAGATAATTTTTATCATGAGTTGTCAATGATGGTCGATGGACTTCCAAGGTCATATTTGGTAAAGCAATGCCGTAAAGATTTGAACAACATGTGTCACTTAGAAGGATTGAAGGGCAAGTTTCCTGGAGCCAAAGTGAGCTCTGTGGAAAATCTACTAGCAGATCACATTTCAGCCTATATAAAAAAAAATCCTGGTTTTTGTGCAGAGACTGATTCAATTCAAATTAAAATCAGTGGTGATGGAGCAAAAATGACCAATAATTCTAATTTTATTTTATTATCATTTGCCATGTTGCAAAGCGGTGAAAGTGTTATGTCAGCTAAGGGAAACAGAACAATTGGAATTGTAAATGGGAAGGAGGATTACAACACAATGAAGGAGTCTTTTGGGGATATAATAAATGAAATAAATAAACTTGTTGCTGCTGGAAAAGTAATTGTAATGATCAAAACATAGACATTGAATTCTTCTTGGGTGGGGACTATAAATTTATCCTAATGATGCTAGGACTGAAAGGTGCAACATCAAATTATGCCTGTGCTTGGTGTAAATTACACAAAGATGAGAGGTGGAGAATGGATCAACATTACACTCACTTTAACAAACCTGAATTGTCCAGGTCTTTGGAAGAAATGCATGCTATGTGCACAAAGTCAAAAGATAACTATTGTTGTAATCAGCCGCCATTGTTTAACATTGATCTTGACCATGTTGTACCAGATGAGCTGCACTTGCTACTTGTGTGACGGATATTCTTACTGAAAACTTGGTGCTGGAGTGCATTGATTGGGACAAAGAGGAAGAGATTGACTGTCCAAGAGGTTCAGTTCGTAAAGTTCACCTGGAGAAGCTAATCCAGACAGTTAGATCTTGTGGTGTATCTTTTGATGTGTGGGAAAAGAGGGATGCTGATGGGAAATCAAGTGGCCATCATGATTGGACCAGCTTGCTGGGGTCAGATAAGAAGCGTCTTCTGGAAGAGTTACCTCAAAAGATGGCTGGGATTTTGCGTCCAGAGACTGTTGATGACATTATAACAATATGGAAAGGTTTTGACGAGCTATATAAGGTAATAACTAACTGGAGCCCAGATGAAAATCCAACAGAATTATGGATAATGGCTAAGGACTGGGTAAAATGTTTCCTTTCAATGAATGGTAAGAGGGAGGGCTATGAGAGAAAAAGGATAACCCCCTATATGCACATCATGGTACAGCACTTCCCAAGGTTTTTAGAGCTTTATGGGTCAGTGAAGATCTTTACAGGACAGGGGGTGGAAAAGAATAATGATGTTGCTCGGAATATAGTTTTGCGAAAGTCAAACAAATGGGACTCGGCATGCGATGTACTTCGACATGAGAAAAGGCAATGGGAACTGCAGGATTGTGAAAGGAAACCTAGAGCTTACACTCAAAATAATGAGTTGTATTGGGAGAGTGGGATCAGAGAAAGCAGGCAAAAAAGAAAACGAGTAAGTGCAAGTCAGCAATTAAATCAAGATGGTAACCTATCTAACCAGTCAAATGAGTGTGTGCCCAGTGTATTCAGTACTACCCATGACACCATCCCTACCAGTAGCGGCAGTGTGGATTATTCCAGATTAACAATTAAGGAATTAAGGCAAGAATTGAAAAGGCGTAATGCAAAAGGATATAGCAGAAAGAGTAAAGCAGAACTTATCAAACAATTAACTGAAATGTAAAAATAACTGTATATAACAAACCATATATAAAACTTAAAATAATAGTATATTTAATCTACTGTAGGAACTGTAACAGATTGTCGTACAAAATCAATTGATAATTTTTCAATTAACATCTGCCGACTTTCCTGAAGTGTTCCACTAGCCATGCTAAAACTTTTCGGTGACTTCTTTAAAAATGCCCTCACTTTAACAGGGTATTTTATTGCTACTCCATCACCAATCCTATCTAAAACTACATCCCAATTGTCTACAAACTCACATCTAATAAAATCGTTTTTTTCTAATAATAAATACTTGTTGTCCCTTGATTGTCTTCCCTTCATAAAATAAATATCTAAAAACATCATGCTCAAAATCTAAAATTAACTTGTTCCTGTTCTTTGACTTTAACTTTGTTGTCAGAGCCACCTGTAGAAAGTCGAGATTCCTACATAATCTCTCAGGTGGAATACATGGCTTGTTATAACTCCTGAAAAAGAAAATATCAAGTACACATTTAAGAATTTAATGTAGTGTACATGTTTCCAATTTGACAATTGTTAAGCAGCTTTGCATTATCAGTTATGCATCAATTGCAGCACATCAACTCATTCAAACATGCAGAGAGTGCACAAACATTGATAAGAAACATTACACATTATAATGTACTGAATTTAATAATACTCAGTCACAAAATACCTTATGAGATCAGCAGTTAAATTATCTTCCTCTTCCCATGTATTTTGGAAGGCACTATATCCTTTCCATTTTACCAAGTATTCCGTCTGTGAAAGAAATAATCAAAAAATGTTATTCAACGGGATTTAGAATCAGCTGCCGCTGTAAAATACTATTAAATACACGATTTCAAATGCATGTATATAAAATATAAATTCATTAACATTTCCTACCGTATTTCGCACTCTTCTTTGAAACCAATCTCTCTACTGGATAAAACTCACGAGAAGCCTTCCTTTTCCTTGATTTGAGAGATTTAGAGCCTCCCCAAAGTAAATCTCCCGAAGATGCATTGTGCATTTGAACGTAAATCCCTCGTTATTTGCATATTCGCGCAAGCCACCCGCCATCTTTATGAATATTAATTAGAAAGACATGACGTATCTCAAAATCTCCGAGCCAACAAGCAAAACTGCTGAATTTATGAAACTGCGCGCCAGACCGCTGACTGTCACGAATTTCTGGCCATGCCCTATTAAAATCTATATAGCTTTTGTTTCAATTTGAATGCCTTATTATTATGCCAATTCATGGGTCTTAAAATGTAAAGAGAGAAACTCATGATCAATTTGAATGTCTCAACCTAATTACTATGCTATTTATCAGTGCATGATAGGTATTTAAATTCGAACTGAAGGTTCATTTCAATAGAGAGTACTTTTTTAATTGTACTGTATTTCCCACCAACTGTCTGTATAAGGTGTTATCAAGTTATTAAGGGAAGGGATTTAAAAATAGTTTAGCTGTAACACTTAAAATTCTTGTAACTCATTGATACTGTTAACTTATTTCATACATGCAATCATACAACATACTTACCATGTTTATTCTGTGGCGCCGTCTCTCTCTTTGTTTAATTTTCTTGTGTTCGCCATTGTTGATTGCTGTTTGCTCACGCCGTTTGGTGTTGAAATGCGCTTTCATGGCCTCTATAGACATAAGGATATATTATGTATAGTACATATTACAACTGGTTAAATATGAAAACAGTAAATTCATATATGGCAGCCTCTTCATCTTAAAGTAATATAATTTGACATTTAAATAGGAAAGGTTAGGTGCAACAATAGTGCAGTTGGTAATTGTCATTTGATCCATATGTCGGGAAACTTGAAGTTACATTTCACTCACTTTCAATAAGGCGATCTGGGTGATTACTGTGCTCTTGCAAACCTTTCAGGTCACGCAAAACGAGCTTATTAACATCTTCATTTGCTGGAGATCTGAAACTGTAAGACAGTTTGAGGTTATGAAATAACTTTAGACATTATGTGCTACAGTGTAATTTGCCAAGAGGTCTAGAACTATCATAAAATAGTTAATATAATCTTTTATGATAATTTCTCCCAAAATCTAATTTTTAAATTGAATGATGACCAGACAAGGGTTAAGATTTTTCACACATGATCATGATAATACAATCAATACAGTCATCAAGAGTGGTGTCAGGTGGCCTTGGGCATGACCTTTTTGACTGTTGTGCCCTTGTTCATACCAGGTTTCTTAGCTCACAGGCATGTAACATACAAAGAATTGCTGCAACATCAAGCTGCTAGTAGAATTTTGTTCTTACATGTAAACATTTAATATTGTATACACCCACTCCCAGAGATGAATATTGCTTTATTTCTTTATTTTTATTCCCATTTAAGATTGTCAATTCATGCAAAGTGAACATGCAAGATTAGACATTTGTGTCTAGCTGTTTAATTGCCCATGATTTAGAATAGTCACTAATTCTGCCCATCTGTATTAGTATATTCTGCTGATTTACAATTGTGTATCATGAAAATTTGATTTGTAGATAAAATGTAGTATATATGTAATATGGTATACTCAAATTAATTTTTTTCATCAGATTTGGATCATAGATTGGTGTATTTCGCTGTAATTAAAAATCAATACTGTTGTTTAAAATCCCATTTCTCTTCTTTGTTTTTTACAGCTATTCGCACATTTCGCTGAATTCAAGAGATGGAAACTGAACTTAACTAAAGCACTTGTCAGGTATGTGTAATATATAAATATATATATAATTGTAATATATATGTAATATATAAATATATACAATTGATCCTGTGTTATATCTTGAAAGCCCAGGGCTGGTTGTAGGAAGATGAATAGCACTATCCACCGAAAAGTGATTTAATCAAGGTCTACATACAAAAAATACATGCATATTTAAAGTGATTTAAAACCACTGGCAGATTTAGCACTACCCAGCTTAAAATTATTGATTATACCAGAGGGTCTGGATGGGGTGTAGAGTTAAGTGTTAAAAGCACAAATTTCTTAAATGTTAAATGTTAAAATAGCAAAAAAATGAGTGTTAAGTGTCATGTGAAATTGTGCAGTTAAGAGTTAAAATACTTAAGACACTTCAATTATATTGGGTAAAATACTGGTAAAAGTAAAAAGACTAAAAAGGAAAGTCGGAAATGTGCCAAAGTCGTCAAATGACCAGCGATTGGGGGTCATTGGTGACATTGGGGGACGTTTGTGCAGCCGCGTGTGTGGTGGAGCGCGTTGCGTGTGGGCCACACGAAGGGTTAACCTCGTTGCCAGACTCCCCGCGGCTCAATACTGCATCAGATGTAAAGTAGGGCTCAAAGACAAAAGTCAAAATGGCATCGTTGTGCACCTCTTCCGACTCTTCTGACTCTTCTGGTCCTTCTGGCTTTGGAATTGTCCGAGTTTTGCTAAGCTTTTTCAGGAACGGAGAGTCTGAAGCATTGAAAGGCATAGAAATCGACTGCCTGTCGAACTGGAAAAACAACGTGAGCTTAACGCATTTAGGAAACACTTGGTTGAGTTTACTGGAATAAACGAACAGTGTAAGGCAAACGGGATGCCATTCTTCGATCTGAAATTGTTCAGATTGTCTCGCAATCGAAGTGGAAAAGCAGAGAATTATCATATTGCTACTAATCAGCAGTGGTTGATGGAAGCCCCAATGCTTCTTTCAGATGAATCATCTGAGTTAAATGGTGAGTGATAAATTATAGGACTTCGACTCAGTTTTAGATAGATCATTTTAGATGGGACAATGGGTGGATCAGATGGGTAGATCCCATCATTTTCATTTGAGTATTGAGTCATCTGAAGAGTGGTTTGTTGTTTTTGATGTTTCTTTGTAATATAATTAAGGGAATGTTTTGTTTTATTCAGTCCATGTGATCCAGAAAGTCACCAGTTGGTCTGATTGTAATATTATGATAGTACCAGACCCGACAACCTCGACAAGTAAGGCTGGTCCTCTAAGTAAGTCAACAACAGAAACAAATGTCAGGAACATAACATCAACAAGTACTAAAACTAAAAGAAAACATGGAACTGAACCAGTGGAAGGTGGTGAGAGGTCTGTGAGGAAGAAAAGGCAAGAGTGCAAAGAAGATAAGGAGCTTTCCCATAATTTATTTCTTGACCGTTCAGCCAAGCGAAATGAGAGACAAGATGCCGAGTTGACAGATCTCCAACAAGGTAATTATCATTTTAGATGTTCTATACAGCAAGTTAGAAGTTACATTTTTTGTAACTGTATGTCACAAAATGACACATTATTGTCGGATCGTC